ATATTACATATTTATATAATTAATTTAAAAAAAAAATTTTTAAAAATATTAATTATTCATAAAAGTAAATCAGAAGAAAATTTATAGTAAATAAGTAGGCAAATTTGCATGTGAAACCCTACAATCTAAGGGATAATTTATTTCTTTTTTAACAATTTATGATAATGAAATATGCTAATAAATAATAAATATGTTAATATTATTTAGGTTTATTGTCAAATAATTATAAGTAAATTTAGCTTGAAATAATGTATAGATTAATAAATAATAATTATATTAGAAAATCAGTAGTTCAATATATATTTTGAAATTATTTTATCACATAAGCAGGTTACCAAAGATAACTGCATAGCTAAAGATGATTCCCATAATTATTTTTAAAATTTTTATCTAGTTGCAACTTAAGTTGCAACACTTTAAGTTGCAACTATTTATGAATTTTTAATTAAAATAAATTTACAAGGAGTTGCAACCAAGTTGCAACTCAAGTTGCAACATACTGAGTTGCAACTTCTTAATTATGATGCCCATCTTTATGCATAGCTATAAGGTATAAGCAAATATATTTTTTATTAATAATATTTAGAATCATAACTGGAATAATTTTTACTGATCAATTACCTATGATAATGTGAAGTTTCATTAAGAAAAAAAATCATGTATAAATAAAAGTTATATATCAAGAAAGTAATAATCTATATTTAAATCATTTCTCAGATTCAGTCAGTCATGCAGTTAAACTATCATGATTTCTATTCCATTTTTCAATCTTAATGTAATATCTTTAGCTGAATAAGATGATTTATAGATGGTAATAAATTATTTTGTTTTGCATATAAAGATAAGATAAATATTTTGCTTATAGTGTATTTCTTAAAGAGTTGGTGGTAAAGAAGGACGAGACAATTCTTTATTAATTCTTCAGACTTTACCTTATAGACCCATCTGTCCTATCCATTATAATATACCTTTTTTGGCTTTACTTCAGCAATTTTTACCAATTTAAAGCAGATAACCATTTAACTTTTATGAACACTAGGTTTACAATATTCACGTGGAATATCTCTTAATCTATCAATACCATAGTCATAGAATGTCTTTTTTTTTCCTTGTCCAAATGAAGCGAAAAGGGAATACATATGATAAACACTATATTCTCTTCTAGAAAGCAACTCTTGTAGAGCACCTCTTACATGAAAAGCCCATTGCTGAGGTGTTTCATGAGGTCTAATAATAGATAAATAATCATATTGTCTTTCTATTTCAATCACTCTTTCAAGCTGATAGTCATCAGTATAAGTCTGATAGTTATGAACATGTTCCAAATCATATCCAAGATGGAGATTGTTAGGTTTAGGTACAGTTTTATTATAAACTTTATCTAAAATAATTGTAACAGTTTGACCGGGCATATTTGATGATTATGGATAATAAATAAGACTTATAGCCATTTTAGTGATGTATAGCGTTTTTAATGATTTATAGCTGATTTAGCAAGATATACTCTACTAAATCCAAATTCATTTTTATTCGATTATACCCTTTGTTCAAAGAACTTCGGGTTCAGAACTTTGAATAATTTTTTTCATGATTAACAGGAATTTTTTCCAATGTCATGATTCAGTTAAATTAGATCCGAATCAATATAACAGCTAAATTATTTTCAGATCCATTATGATGTATATCATATTGTAATGTTATTATTTCATTTTTATTAAATCGAAATAAAATGTACTGCAATTATACACTTGCAATTATACAAGAAATTATGAAATTATTGACCATTTCCATTTGCATTGCCTCCATTACTAAATTTCAAAAACTTTAATGCCATTACTTTGATCTCATATCGGATTTTTTTCTTTTTGGCTTTGCTAGGAGTATCTGACGTGGCAATATCATTTGAATTCTGCTTAATAATCGGACCTACTTCTTCATTATCAATCAGCCTGTCGAGTAAATCATTCACCAATCCCTGCAAACCGAACATGATGTTTTTATTAAGCAACAAATAAAGACGTTGTTAAATCATAAGTATCTATTATACAAACCCGAATATTCCATGCCCAACTCAGACTAATACGCAAATTATTAAAATTTGTAAATGTTAAGG